GTTATACCTTTGTCGTATAGGTAATCTTACAATATTTTCATATTCTTTACGGTAGATACACAAGACATATGGTTTTATTTGAATACTTTATTATGACATCGTAAAGTGATGAATAAAAACACTAAACAAATGGTTTTATTCGTAGGCCTAGAGGCTAGGTCTAGCCTAGTTAACATCATTCGTTTATACATACGTTTATTGAGCGTTACGTACGTATTAGGTCAAAGGTTACCACAAATTTAACCCAACCTCTATTTTACGAATCCCCCGATTTACGTACGCCCTCTGGTCCCGTACCGTACGTAAAATCGAGGTTCTACTGTATTGTTTGGTGTTTGAGGTCGATTATTTTATTCATCTTCAGGAGAAAGATTAATCAGTTTTATAAATTCATATGTTGATAAAAATTTGTCTGTTTTGACATTTACTTTTGAACTATCTTTTAATTTCTTCAAATTACCCTTTTTTCAGTAACACCTCCACTAAAGAATGTGAGAAAATGAAGGTTCAGAAAAACAGCCAAGAAATAGGTATGTCTAACTCTGATAACATTTTCTCATACTCGCTGCCACTTGGGGATCGGATACAACAGTGACTCGGTATTCTAGTGGCATTGGCACCAGGCTAGTTACCTGGAGGTCGTGGGTTCGATTCCCACCCGAATCACTTGAAATTTTTTTTTACTAGTATTTGGGAACGCACTGAGTATTTGGTACAATAATACATCAGGTAGGGCAAGACATCACTCCTTTGTTATTTTCCTAATTCAAAATCACACATTATAATAGCATTTGCAGTACCAAGGTCGATAGCGCAAGGTCTAGTGGTTATGGCGCTAGTATGTACTGAGTATTCGGTATGATAATACGTCAGATACGGCAAAATGAGGGCAAAACATTACTACTATAATATTTTGCCATGCTGCTGGATACAAGAATGAATTATCATTAAAGATGGATGTTTTAAATACATTTCAATATTTATTCTTTTACTTTCTTCTTGCAGTACATAGAATCACCAGATATTGAGAAAGAAGTGAAAAGACTACTAAGAATGGACAGCACAGCTATCAGAGTCCGTATCCTTTCATCCGTTTTATACTATTTTGAGGAATTTTATCTGTTGTTTAAATTGTGAGTAGCAGCAGTTATTTAATTAACATTTGAGGCTTGTCATCCTAAAACCAGCAAACTGTCAGTAAATGAGTAATTAGCAAAGAATGTGTCAGTATTGTGTACTTTAGTACAGAGAAGCTGTAATACTTTTATTCATAACTTTAGTAATAGTGAGTCGATTCCAGTAAACGACCCATCATTTTAAAGATTACAATGTGGAGAATAAAAATATATTAACAAGTCAATTTTTTTTTTGTGGTCATGGTGCTGGTTTTGTCATGTCTTAACATAACAGTCATATAAACTGTCAGCCATATTTAAAAAAAATCCTTAATAATAATTTTTTTAAATCCTATTCTCAGATACTATGATCATAAAAATTTCTCTCTTGTTCAGTTCTATGTATATATAT